CCGCTCCCCCATGCAGGGTACACCCCGGCTCTCGAATACCCTGCTTTTCCTGTGTGAGGCGCAGGTAACTGCTAAGTCCCGCGGGCATTGCTCACTTCCCCCATATTTATCCTCCTAGATTGGAGCCTTTGATACTGGTCTGAACTAGAAGGATATGGTGGCAACAGGCGATAAGAACACGGTGCTGCGATGCTGGGCTGCTGGGGTGGGACTGGGGCGGCTCCAGTGCTAATGGACAGCTACTATAGGTTACAAGATGCCCTAAGAACAGCCCAGCAGATCTGACACCTGGGATGAAAGTCTTGTATTTAGGTTTCCTCTTCTGGTGCCTTTCTTCTCCCTTTGTCATGGGATGCGTGTTGTTCTAGCTGGAGGGGCGGGAGTGGGGGGCAGAGGATAGGGTGGGCAGTGCTAGAGGAGAGTGTAGCTGTTACATGGAGAAAGGGCAGGAGGTGAGCTCAGTCCTGGGGTGGGGGGGTGAGAGGGGGGTAGGGAGTTTCCTCTGCGGAGGGCAACACTGCCCCCTGGCGTTGGAAGTTTCCAAACACTGGCCAACCCCCAGAGATGAAGGCTACTTGATCCTCAAAGGGATAAGTCTTTAGTATACATGGTTTTAAAGCCTCAAATATAGACACAATTTTATAGACGTTATATACTTAATAGACATTAACAGTAATCACTCGAAATGAACGAAATTTCAAAATAGCAAGAGACAATCCTAGATTCTGTGGTATTTCCCTTGATTCGTATCTAACATGCTGTCATGAGATCATGTATATTTTCTAAATATTAGTGGGACTCGGTCGACTCTGGGTGACAACTGACTCCAAGCAGAAGTACAAGCACCATCTGTGACACTACAAATAGGAAGAGGATTGGTTTTAGGGCTTGTCATGGAATAAAAGGATTTGAGGACTGAAAGGGAAGCTAAGACACTATATAACCGACTTCCCTGTCTCGGAGGTGAAGAGTCGGGTTCAGGCAACAAAGGCTTCTCCCTACGTCAACAGCTAACCAGCGAGAGGCCTGGGTCGGTGACATGGGAATTGTTCTGGGTTTCGTCTCTTCCGACTACTGAATATATGCCCAGATAATCTGGGGAGGATGACTCAGATTCCTCCAAAGACCTCATGCCACTTGAGGTGGAGTTATTTTTCAGAATTCATTTGAACATGTAAACATCCCCTTGGGTGCCCTTCTAATTCAGAGAACACAATGCCACCTGGGGATTATCTATTAAGTTAAGAGACAACAGCATTGGGAAAGTCTGGAGCAGCATAAGACATCAGGTTGCTCGGCCACCAGGAAATAACACCTTACCTCGTTAAAGCGCTGGATCACTTTGCCCTTTTTAATATCCCAAATGAAGGCGCCATTTTGGGAAGTTGCTCCGGCAATGCAATCCAAATCACCTTGGGGAACAATTTGATAGACATTACCTGAAATGCTTGCCAGAAATGTCCTTCCCGAAGATGTAATTTTGGAAAAAGACTTGAGATTTGCTAAGTAGTTCTTTAAAAAAAAATTATGTGAAAACCCACAGAATTAATCACACGGTCACAAGTGAACTGTGCTGATGCATAACCATTCACATTTACAAAACAGCTGCATCAGGGGAAAATCTGTACTGTGATTTAGAAAGCAAATTTTGTAATTTTAGAAAGCACATTTTTAACACTTTCATATATTTGATTCATATAAAACTTTTAAGGAAAATGGTCACGTAAAATGCGTTATATCGTTAAATGCATGTCTACACAAATGCAGCTAAAATTAGATGGGTCACAATTAACCTGATTTACCTCGGCTTTTCTCTATAGTCACGTGATACCAAAGGGCCCAGAAACCCAAGTTGTCCAGCAGGAAGTCTATTCTGAAAACCTCCCCCAAACTCACCCAACAAATACGTTCTTCCTACTGCGCCTCCACCAGCCTTTGGAAGGAGACAACATGGAGGGGAAGAAGGGAATTCACATGAAAATAAAAGTCAGGAAGGCCATTGAGCTGTCCTCCCGATTTTAATGACATGCTTCTTACCTGGCGCCCAGGAGAGGGAATAAATCACCCCCTCGTTCCCCGGGGACGTGTACACCGCGGTCAGCGTGTCCACGTCCCAGACCTTCACGGTGCCATCGAAGGACGCTGTCGCTAAGAGGTTGGGGTCGTTGGGCTTGAATTTGCAGTCGAAGATGGTTTCCACGTGTCCCTAGGATGAGGCACACAAGTCACTGAGAAAATTCAGCCACTGAGACAACCCAGGTGATTAATAAGCAAACCAGTGTGCAGTCAAGTTCAACCCGGTACCAGGGTTTCCAAATACGAGTGCAAACATGCAACGGCGAGCAAAGACACAGGACCCGCGTGCTGCTGCTGTGCAGGGTCCCTGTGCTGTGACCGTACACGCCTCACAGACCTAGATTCATTCAGCCTCCGTTCCCTACGGCAGCAACTAAGTCAAAGATTTCCAAAAGTCCGATTTCAACTGCGATCCAATGCATATAGCTTTTCTTAATACTTATTGTACACAGAGGACGATGCTAGAAACTCATAAAGCAGTGAATTCTTAACAGTTACTATGTAATTCTGGGAGCATAATAAAAGACAAGAGAAAACGGAAAGCATCCTTTTTCCAAAAGTCCGATTTCAACTGCGATCCAATGCATAGCTTTTCTTAATGCTTATCGTACACAGAGGACGATGCTAGAAATTCATAAAGCAGTGAACTCTTAACAGTTACTATGTAATTCTGGGAACATAATAAAAGACAAGAGAAAACGGAAAGCAGCCTCTAATGCAAATATCACTTTCTTCGTACCAATGACATAGTCCAAGAGGACTTCACAGTTTTAACTGAAAGAAGACGCATCTGGCTTGGTCTTGGCTTTTCATCAAGTTTTTAAACTGTTCCAACGTTTTCCTGCAAGTTTACTCTTTGGAACTCACAATCCTGTTCCCATGACATGGTGACATGGGTCCCAGACATCCCGCAGGCTGTGCGGTGGGATGGACAGATGTGTGCAAACATGTACCTGCTAAGTGGAGGTTCATTACTGGGTGCCTGTGGGCGAACCTGGGAAGAATCGCAGGTAAGCAGCCAGTTGCCATGTGTGTCTCCCAGCCCTGGGGATGGGAACTGACCCTCCCCTCCTACTCCAAGCAGCAGACACCGCAGCATGCGGGGCTGGGGAGAACTAACACAGGGACAGGGCGGGCGAGCTCTCTCCCCTGCGCCGCCCCCCCCCCCCAGCCCAAGCCTGCCCTAAAGGAACAGAGGGAGCCTTCACACTCAGGTGCCTCCCGTGATACCAGGGGGCAGGGCCCTCAGGAAACCGCACCAGGGCCGCAAGGGAGGGGAGGGGAGGGGACAATCTCCAGAGCCAGCGAGAGGGAGGGGAGGTGGGTGCAGCTGCTGGTGCAGCCCCAGGGGCTGGGCAGGGGCAGGGGCTGGGTCTGCCTGCAGGTGCATTCTTCAATGTTAATTCACGGCTATGCTTTCAGAACTCATTTGAGAAATCATATAGCAAGAGCTACGTGGTGAATGTTCCTTGTCTTATCAGGACGAATGCAGGGGTGAAAGGAAGAAAGGGAAGCATTTTTCTTCATTTTAATCAAGTCGACATTCGCGTGGAAGGATGCCTGTTAGCAAGTGTCTGAACAGGGGTTTTCTGATGCCATGTACCTTGGAAGCTTGGAGATGCTGGGCACTTGCAACATCATGTCGGATGCTTGTGCTGGTAACTGTCCAGCCATCCCAGATTGGGGTCTACGTTAGCAATGGGACTTTATGGGGGAAAAACTCAAGTCTCTTCTGACTGGCAGACACTTTTAAAGTGAGAAGAGCCACTGGAATAATTTATAATCAAGGAATGTTTTAGTTTTGATTGAATTATAAATTTAACATAGTTTTTTTTAAAATAAAACGTATTTTAATATGAGGATATACACTCAATAGAAAGTCGTTTGAACTTAGATTGTGTAATTTCTTTACTAATATGAATTTTAAAACACTTGTTATATTTTTCTCCCTTCCCTTTCATAATTCTTTTAAAAGTAGGCGGTAATTTGAAATGGGGAAAAAATTTCCCACACTGGGGAAGCATGTATATGGAAAGAAAATTCAATAAACTGAAGAATATCTACAAAAGGAATGTTTTTATATAACTTAGCTACATATTGTTAAAAAATATTTTTGTCAATGTTCCTTATTTTTATTTGAGGATAAAATCAAATTAGCCTTCAAATAACAGTATTATTGATTATTTCCCTCTTTTTTTTTTAAAGAAGGGCAATTATAGCTGTAGAGTCCTTTCTAAGTTTTCCCAGAGAAAAGCAATTAACATTTAAAAGTCTTAAATGTCTAGATTAGTATAATTCAAACCTGTAGGGGGAAAAATGGTCATTTTATAAACAAGGAAAAATTAGGGAGGATGATTCTTGACAAATAGTAATTACAACACAATATACATGATTATATTCATTCACTCATTCATTATGCATATATTCATTCATTCAGCAAAACTTAATGAAGTCTTGCTATGTGCCAGGCCCTGGTTCTGGTAGTGGAGAGAAAGCATAGATTAAAACCCAACAAAAACGCGAGTCCTCAGTGAGGTTGTACTCTATTGTATACAGAGGCTTAGTGGTCCTGAGAACAGAAGAGCCCTGGCC